TCTAGTGCTGTGCTTCAGGCTGTTGAACCAGAGGTACAGGACATGCTCAAGGCAGATGCTGCTTGTCTGGGTTCTGGGAACCTTTGGGAGACCTTAGGAAAGTCTGCCGCTTGAGCCAAGGCAGACAGTCTACACAAAAAATCCACTGGAAGAAGTCAGGGTGTGCCCCAAAGTTGGATGGGGTGGGGTCTTGAATCACCAGGGCATGGTGAACACACAGTGGAGACACAGATATGATGGCCATCTGCATCTGTATATGGGGTAGGGAGAAGGCTCAGCAAAGAAACAGTGGCCTGCACCAGCTCCCCCATCCAGTGGAAAGCCGCCTCGCCAGCCCTCTTCCCAAGCCAGACAACTCAGTTCCCCACCATATGTTCCTGCTGCCTCTCCAGCTGCTGCCCTAGCACTGGAGCTCAGAGCGAGTAATCCCATTGGTGGGTAAGTCCGCACGCAGTATTTTTAAGAGGCGTGCCTGGGAGTGCAGCCACCCAGTCTCACTCAGTCAAAATCTGCTGGTTTTCACAAAAAGAAATTGTGGAGACTTCTCTCTCCAGCACTGGAATCTGTGCTGGGGTGGTGTGTGACCTCCACTCTTCTGGGGAATGGCAGGGATGCCCACAGGTGAAATATCCCTCCCAATTTTTAATGGACACATTTGGGTGTGGGAATAGCCCGTTCCGGGTCTCTGTCCTTCCTACCAGTCTGGAGGTGGCTTCTATGTGTCTTTAGTTGAAAGACTCCTGTTAAGCTTAATTTTAGGCAATTCCCAATAATGATTGTTTTATAGACTAGTTGTAATTTTGATGTGGTTGTGAGAGAAGGTAAGCACAGCATTTACCTATTGCTCCATCTTGGTTGTCCCAATCATGCACTTTTTTTTTTAGCTGAGCCATCCTGCTACCTGTTGGCAGCTCAGCGGCAGTTCAGCTCAGGCCGGGAAATGAACCGGCAACCCTGTTGCTCAGAGCTTGCACTCTTGAGCGAGCTCTTAACCAACTGAGCAAATCGGCTGGCCCCCAATCATTTTTAATGACCCCTGTATGTCACAGTCTAACTGGCAAAGAACAATAGGATTTATTGTAGCCAATTGTGTGCAGACCCATGAACTCCATCCATCCTATCAGGAGTGCTAGTTTTCACTGCTTAATTAGCATAACCTTTCCTAAAAATTACCTTCCACTCCTTCCCCTGGTATATTCACTTCCCTTGTTTTTTACCTCTGTTTTATTCTTTGACAGTCAATTATGTAACCTAAGTGCCTCCATTGTACAATTAGAAAATAACAGAACTTACTTCATAGGTTTATTAAGAGGACTAAATGACTAAACATGTAAATTGCTTAGAACAATGAGTACTGATACACAGTAAACACCCAATATATTTGAATTATATTGTTATTACTATGTCAAATTTTTTTCTTTATACTTTGTGTATTTTTTTCTTATTTTAGATATACCTCCCCAATCAATAGGGAACTATTATTATAGTGAATTGACAGGGCTTGTTAACTGCTTGGGTTTCTGGTGGGGTGGTACAGGGGGAAGGATTTATCTAGCACAGCTCTGGTAGTTCCAGCTCAGTCAATCAGGGCTGCAAGGATATTTGTGAGAAGTGTAAGATGTGTGAGCCTTTGTCACTGTGAAAATGCCAACATCACATCTAATGCATTGGAAGGATTTCTTGGGCAAATAATATAACCTGTACACAGCCACAGAAGAGCAAGGTGTTATTCTAAATGGTTTATTTCCTTAGATTATAACATTCATCACAATTAAATTGCATTTTAAAGACTGTTACTGCTGACAGTGCATAAAAACATTACTTTTTAATCATAACAAAGTGTCAATAGATTAGGGACTCATTTCAGGTAGTAAAT